ATGGAGTACACAGCCCGCATCTGAGTGGAGCGAGCGCTGCAGCATCATCTAGTGAGTAAGCCGAGTACTATAGCGGTGCAAGCACCACAGCGCCATCACCATCGGCATAGCGGTGGCTAACATGACGCTGGACAAACGTACGCCAAGCTTCGCCCTTGAAAAATGGAGCATTGGTGTTGGCAAGGACGGGCAAGGTCAGTCCTCCCTGCCGGAAAAGTTCAATTCTGAACATGTATACTCATGCAGAAGGGCACACGAACATACACGAAAAGTGATTTGCATCCACTGCGATTTTTGTGTCACAACCAACGCTGCCGGCACTGGAATTTCTACGAAACGAGCTGTTAAACACAATCGCGTTAAGATAATCTCCGTCCAAGCCATTACTGCCTCCCGCATGATAATTTGGATAGATGCACACCCAATTAATTTCGCTCCCTTCGGTTACTTAAAACATTGACGAAATGTTTAATATAATGTCGTCCAACAGTCACTGGTTGAAGGAAAATAAGTATGAACGTCCTTGCAAATTCTACTAATAAGTACTCGGTATACTTTGCAAGCTAATTTATCTCTTTCCCTAATGTAAAATCAATTAGATAGAAACCTAAATCTCTGGCTTTAATGTCCCCAGACTAAGTGCATGTATTTTGAAGAATCATCCTGTCATCAGCTAAAAATGACGGAAACCCAAGTTTTCAAAGCAGTCGGGTCTATAATGTACATCTCACTGGGTTTTGTCCCCACGTGAAGGAAATATATGTCGGTACATACCATCCCACAAGCCTCCGGCGGTTCCCACGTCAGGCCCGTTCGTTTATTCAAACAGTAATGGCCGTAAACTCGCTTTGCTTCCACTAATTAAAGAAGGTTCGTTAAATGCAATTCTGTATTTCGAGCATATGGCTCATTCGCACTGCAAGTATCAGAAGAAGTATATGGAAAAGCTTTGTTTAAGTCCGTCGGGCGTTAACCAGCACGTGTAGCGGGCCGCTCCCACGTCGGCACAGATGGGCCTAACCTCTCCGCCACGTCCTGGGTCCGTTGGACTGCCCATAGCTGCGTCCTTAAATCCGTACTGCGTAATCCCACTTGGATGATGTAACGTTTTCAACCCGTAACGCAGGGTACCGCCAGAGCATGTGATCTAAGCTGGCAAATTCTGAGCAAAGCACGCATCCGTTTGACGCCTGAATTTCTGGATAAAGTTTGTGCAAGAGTGCGGCACTGTGATATGCCCCGACCTGCAAGAGTCTACAGGCCTGTGCGGATTTACTGTGTGGTGGCGGATACTTTCGCCTGCTCAGATAACGACGTACAATGAGACGAAGTGATCACACTGCAGGAAAAAAAGATTATCGAGGCTTTTTTTTTATATATATACAAGTGAAGGTTGCGTTAGCACACCATCGATAATCTTATCTCACAAAGAAGTTGGGCGTTTAAAGACAGCTGTGATAACTTAGATAAGATTGCTTTTGAAGTGTTTTTTCGTGGATAGTGACGAGTTCACAGATGTAGAAGGTGTTTTTTTTCGTTGTTCGTTTGGTTTTCTTTTGTTTTATTTTTTACGCCATATACGTGAGGATGTGTGCGGCGCAAGAGCACTTGATAGTCATCAATAAGTGCATCACCCTGTGTCTGTCTTATTTCGTGGTCACTTAGTCTGGTTCCTGACAGCGCGAATAAGCCGTGCATTCATACTAACTAGCTCCCGTAGCTTTACTTGTATATTTCACACGTGGCGTGCTAGGCGCTTCTTAAAGACACGTGTCCATACGCTACAGGAAGCGGGGACATTCAACCTGTTCTCGGCTCGTACGCTTGTAAAAGCCGTCACTCCTTTTTTTTTATTCCTGTCTCTTGCCCTTTTTAACATAAACTGTGTATGTACGGCCAATCACCAGCCTATCATGCAATAGGGGCAATCACTATGTACGGCCAAACACCGGCATGTCAGTAAAGGTACGGCCAACCAGCGCTCCTCTCTGTCTAACTAAGCATGAGCCCAGTCGAGACATAAGCTAAAGATTGATGCTTTGCCCGATTAATTCTGATCACAGTATCGGTACAGTTTCACTTCCAAAGAACACAAAAGGGAGAGAATAGGTGAAATACAGAAAGTTTAACTATAGGAAATGAAATGTTCGCTTGGCTATTACGTACTTGGGAACGAGAAATAGTAGGAAATAACAAAAACGGAGAACAGTTCATGAAAAGTGTTAATCACTATGACCCCGGCTATCACCGACCAACCCACGAACACAAACTCTTCGGGCACGGTCGCTGTGTGTCGTTCAATTTGGCGCCTCTAAGGAAACATAGCAAAGCTTTTAAGGTCGTGCTGAAGACAGCATTAAATTTAGTGAAATTCCCACGGGTTATGGAACCGGATTTGCCCGTGCTTGCTCTAGGATAAGTATGTCACGTACTGTATGCTTTTCTAACGTCGTACCTTTAATTTCTTTTTACTCACTACTTGCCTCACTCCCGAACTTCCTTGGACGTTTCTTTGTTATCCTCCACCTCTTGGTCACACACGTAGTGATCCTCAACCGCAACTTGTACAAAAAGTATAAGAACGATTTGTACGGTGTCAGAGAAAAATTAAAACAGCTAGGCCCTATAGCGGTGCCTAGCCTGGAGAGCTTGCGGATCAGGGCAGCCTTCGTTGTTTCTATCTTCGGTTTTCTATTTCTTTTTGTTTCTCTTTTCCACATTTTCCTGCCTTTTTCTATTTTTTTCTTTCTCAATGTCTATTTATTTCGCTTTCTAGCTTCTATCTTCTTCCTATTTTTCTCTTTCTATTTCACGCTTGCTCTTTTTGCTCTATCATAGTTCGTGGTTCTCTTTGCGTTGCGTAGCGCACTAGTATATTTTTTTATTGGTTGATTATCATCAAGGTGCACGAAGAACAAAAGGAAGAAGACTTCTTGGAGCGAGCGACCGCTCAGTATGCGACACATTGAGCGTGACGGCAAGCGAAGATGACAGCGTACTACAGCACGTCTCCCTACAGGGCTCCGCGCTTAAAAGCACGCGGCATTCAAATCTGTACACGCAATGCTAGGCCCTACTGCGCGCTTTCCCGTAGACTCCTCGAATGAAGGGGAGGGGCAATTAGAAGGAGCACCAGATATGTGTCACGGATACGTAATCGTTCCTATGGCTCGCAAGGCCGGACACTTTCAGTCCGGCGGCGCCTGTCTTTATGGCCGCTGGCAGAGGTGGCGATGGTTATGAGGGGGCACCGGAGAAGGAATGTTTGCGGCACACATGTTTGCGACGCGGAACTGTTCTTGGCAGACGTCGTGCACGTGGACGGCCGTGTTTACGTTCGCGCAGGCGGAACCTTGGGGGATGCGGGAAGGAATCCGAGTGCAACGCCTCTATGGCGACTCGTGAGATCACGAGAAGACTACCTCGAAACGGGGAAAAAAAAGACACCCTCTAGTAGGGTGTCTGTTTCGGTATTGCGCAACTACAACTTTAGAAAGCGCACGGTGTTATTGGTCGCGTAGTTTAAAGCAGCACCAGGGAGGCATACAGGCTTCGTCATGCTAAATGCAAAGAAAACATCTTTACTACTATTATTATTATTATTATTATTAGAGTTGTTTTTTGTTTGTTTTTTGTTTTTCTTTTTTGCATCTGTTGCGCTAAGTGCTGAGACTTCTTCGGCGTGTCCAGAATGTCTTGAAGCTTAACGCCTTTCCCTTCCGAAGTAATCGATGTTTGCTACTTACAAACCAGCGATCGTTTATGTAAAGAGGATACAGACGTGTCTTGAGCGTGCAATCATTGGGAGAATAATCAACATCTGTACCAACAACAGCGGCCTCAAGCGGAATTCGAGATCGGGATGACCAAGTGACACTGCATGCGTGCGCCACTTGATCTCGAAGGTCATGTGCCAGGCAGCTTGCAAATAGACAATAATTTTAAAGTAACGAAGTCAAACCTTGGCACGTTCTGACAACTTTCATGGCGCAGGCGCCAGAATAGCGTGATTAGACAGCCAAGAATTGCTCACCTAAAAGAATTTGGACGAAGAGACAGAATGTCGTCCGAACGTACCATGACCATATATCAACGATAGTTAGAGCGCGAGAACAAAACAACCACACAGAGACAAGAAGGACACGAAGGACACGTGTCCTTCGTGTCCTTCTTGTCTCTGTGTCGTCGTTTTGTTCTCGCGCTTAACTATCGTCATGCCATACCAACTAGCCCAAGCTGCCACACTTCTAAGTTACATATATCAACGTCGTGTCACACGCGATAGTAGCAAAAAAGAAAAAAAGAAAACGTCAAAATGAAAAAAAAAATGCGATGGATGCGATAGAAGTGCTCTTATTAAGTGCGGCATCGTACTCTGCATAGTAACTACAAGGTACGATGCCGGGTACAATAACGGGTACGAAGGTACGATGCCGTACCCACCCGTACGGCATCGTAAAAAAATGAGCACACATCGTGTCGGTGCTGGCAGCACCTGGTAACCACGCCGAGGTGCATTGTCCGGAGAAGCGCCATGAACCAGCTCTATTCTGCAGCGTCAGACCGATAACCGACAGCCTTAACATGAAACCATGAGCAGAAGAGAGCACAAGTCTAGACAAGCGCTGTGGCGGTTGAGCATCATATTTACACGGTGCAGCGCCTACGAAATAACGTGCGCAGCAACCCCTCCGAACACCTAGCGTCGAAATGCGCGAAAACACAGGACAGTAGTCATATGCAGAGTCCTCGGCATCTGCTGCCTGCACGCCGGCAGCAACCTCGCTCGCTCTCCGTTCTCTCCGTCGTCTTCCTCTCCGTCGTCTTCCCTCTCTATTCGCTTCCCTCGGAAAAAATTCTTCTCCCACCCCGTAAACGCGCTTCGACTGGTTCTCTTCCTCTCGGCGATCCACCTGTAGAGATCGCTCGTAACGAACAAAGCAACAAAACACGCGGAGAACGTGGAAAGGAAAGCGAACAGAAAAATGAATCCAACGTGGCAGGTAGGCAGAAGCGCCGCCGAAGCGGCGGCAAGCCCGGGTAGGAGATCTGCGCGCCGCTCTCACACGCGCAAGCCTAGCAACCGCTGCAGTATCTCAGCCTTCCGTGGGGCGACAACAGCGGAGGTGACGGGGAAAGGATACGATCGTACGACCACGACACGGCGAGGCGCCGGCGCTAACCTTCAACGACTTCGCTCTCCCGGGCGACTGCGACGGAACGAAGTCGGTGCGTTCGCCCTTACTTCTCCTCCGTGGTTCTTCTACCGGCCTTGGCTTTTTTTGCACACTTTGTGTTCTTTCTCGTTTACTTATGCGAGGGCAGTGTTCTCTATGCAAGGGCAGTGTTGGGCAATGCACGCTCTTCTCCGGACCGGCAACGATTACGCGACAGGAAAGAGAGCGGTGCCCTTCCTTGCTCGGTTTCACTCCCACGTTTTGTGGGTCAGCCACCACTACTACTACGCCACTACGCACGTATTGAGCTACTGTACGAAATGTTGTAGTTCGGAGCTGCTGTTCCTCCTACACGTGTTCCACGCGCGTGTTAGCTCGTAGCTGTAATGCCGGTATGAAGGTGTAGGTGTACGAAGTGATTTCGGGAAGAGAGAGGCCACAGTGGCTGCGTACGCAGCTGACCCTTGTACAGTTATAAGGTCACAGCAACCGCGTGAAGGGAGGCTACAGTAATTGTGTCAGTAAAAGGACGGAGGAGAAAGGGATGTGTGGCATGCGATTGGCGTAGCCAGCTTTTTTTTCAGCGGGGGGTGATGCTGAATTATTTGTTATGATTATTAGGACAAGTTTGTAGGTGTGCGCCTATATATGCTCATGCAGAGAGAGAATACACTTCTATTGGAGAATGTATATGCTCTCGTTGTGTGGGGCCCTCAGTCTAGGGCTCTATTGCCTTGCGCGACGCTGTCAGCGAAATTTAGAAATTTTTGGGGGCGGGGGCGAGAAGGTCATGACCTCACAAGACACTTTCCCCATTCATGCGGAGCCGATTTAACAATGGGCAGTTTGTAGACTCCTTGTAACTGATTACATACTGCATTTCGTTGCACTCCCATTCCACGCGAGCTATTTTCCTTCTTTGCTTTTCAATTACTAGGCCGGTTTTATGCGGAGGGGAAAACGTGCCCTTGCGCGGTGGCTCGTTTGGTTTCGTATATCCGGCCATCGCATGCCGTTTTACAGGCGGATTGCGAAAGTGGTGACTTGTGTGTTGAGAGAGTGGCGGAACTGAGATCTGGAACTTCCGATTGAGTTGCGACTTCCTGTCTCCGTGTCGCGGGCCTCTGCTCGCATTTTCCTCTGACGCAACTTTTTCGAAGCCAGCTGAAAAATTCCCTCGAGCCCCTTGTCTTTGCTCGTTGTGGAATATAGGTTCAATTTTTTTTTTGTCGTTTCATTTCTTGCAGTTGCACCGGTAGACTTTGTTTTTTCACAATTTTCTTTCTTGCATTCTTTTCTGCAGGCCTGGTACCGTGGATAGCCGGTAATACCGGCCGCTTCCTGACGGGAAACCTCACGCTGAAACTGATCTGTGAATCAACAATTGCAGGAGCGTCATCGGAACATCGACCTGCCTTAGGAGTGCAGACAAAAATACAGGAGCTTCTTCAAAGCACACCTCAGTCTGCCGGAGTGTCCAGTTGGCATAACTACCCGCCTTAAAGAGCCGCTGCACTGCTAAGCATCGCTGTCATACGCATAACACTGCGACCTCCCCGATTGCCCCAGGGGTCGTTCAAGGTTTGCCTCCAACCCCCGTGCTGCCTGAAGGTTAACAGGTTCGACTGATCGCGAGGACATTAAGACTCTCAAGACGGCAAAGAAGGTTCCATACTTCAGAACACGGACTTCATCGGTGCGAACTCTATACTTCACCGGAAGCATTATCCTCTGTGGTTTCGCTTGACAAGACGGCGAGGTCTGTAGGCGAAGTCGTCTTCGGTGCCTTCGCGTGGGCCATCACCGCTGCAGTTCTGAAGGCCCAGTCCGAGGGCGTTCGCGGCGCGACGCGTGAAAAGTGGATGCGTCCGACCTTGTTCGGCGAAGTACGACGCTGTGACTACTGGTCCGAACACGAATCCGTCCACCGAGACAACTGGGCTTCCAGCGAGTACTCCTGGCTCGTCTGTAAACAGGTGAGCCCACGGGTGTTTTGGACAAGTCTTTACCAAAGACAGCTTACTGGCCGAGTGTGCATTTACTCAAGGACCCACTCGTCCTGTGTCGTTGTGATCCTCCTCCTTTTGTGTGTCGTTTTCCCACGTATTTTGTTAAAGCCCATACATAAATGACTGATGGGATGTTACGCTATTCACGTTTGTTAGTTATTTACTTAATTAAACAACCATGTTCTGTTTCACAATATAAGCAGAAACCTGGAGGTTTACAAGGAGTGTTCGACTTAAATTGAAAGACGACGCAGCGAGCAACGGAAGAGGAGCAGAGTGTGTCATGGAACAAACGGGTGTTAAGGGATGTCACTGTTGAAATCAAGAAGTAATGGTCATGGGCGGAGCACGTTGGCGGGATAACCGCTGGCCATCAAGGGTAACTGACTGGATTCCCAGAGAAGGCAAACGCGCAAGGGGGAGAGAGAAAGTTTGTTGGGCTGATGAGATTAAGACGTTTGCGGGTACTACGTGTCAGGAGTCAAGCATAGGAGTGCGGATTGAATGGCGGAACATGGGAAATGCCTTTGCCCTGCAGTGGGCATAGTCAGGTTGATGATAACAATTATAATATAAGGTGTCGTTAGGTTATTGTATAACTCCCACGCGCCATGGTGGTTTAGTAGTTATTGTGCTCTATTGCTGGCCCGAATATCGCGGCGTAGAATCCCAGCCATGGAAGCCGCATTTATATGAAGACGAGAAGATTAAGTTTAGGTACCCGGTAAAAAACTCCATGTCGTCTTAATTTAGTCCAGAGCCCTGCATGAAAGTGTGTTCCTCATAGTTGTCTGGCGCGCGGTAAATCTTTAGAAATTGTGTTGTTAAAAATCTGAAAGACCGCCTCTATTAAGGAATAAAATGCTAAAATAATCTAGATTATGTGGATTTCATGAAAACACGAATTCTGATGCGTTAGTAATTTTCAAATGTAATTAACCATCACAAAACTGTAGCTATAGATTGACCCCTTTATTTCGAGGCCACGCAACCTCGAAAATTCGACTTTGTTTGTTGCGATAATTGTATCTAAACTTTTCTCGAATCCCGCTCATTGTAATTTCTTGTCCTGGAATGAAAATGCGTTTATCTTGTGCTTTAAAAAAGACTATAAAGTGTACACCAAATATGTTACATTGTACGCCGACCATATTACGATATACGCTGAAAAGTTGTGTGATCTTAAGAATCCGTTTAGTTGTCGTTTTTATATGCCAACCGCGGTGGTTCACCGACAATTCTTTTATATTACAGTGGCCAGATGTTATCTATCTAATAAGATAATAATGATCACAAAAGAATAATAATTAATATTATCTGGAGTTCTACGTCCTAAAACCACTATATGACTGAGACACGCCGTAGTGGAGGGCTCCGGAAGTTTTGACCATCTGGTGTACGACCATGTGGTGGTTTGACCAAATGGTGGCACCACCTGGTTAACGTGCACCTTATTCCAAGTACACAATCTCAAACATTTTCGTCTCCATCGAACACACGGCTGCCACGGCCGTGATTCGATCCCGCGACCTTCGGGTCAGCAGTCTAACAACCACTAGTCCACGGTGGTGGGCTTCAAAATTCGTCAAAATGGGACAGTGCTCAAAGAATCTCCCTGTAGCGCTGCAACATCGACAAAGCGTAGCAAATGACCCCACGCCCAAACTCATCAAGGACTCGAGTAAACAGAAATGGTACCAGAGAGCACGCTAGCTTAGTGTCGAAAATAAACTTGCCACTCGACGTGGACGTAAAGCTGTTGACATCGGTGGGAATGAACGAACAAAAAAACAAAACAATTGGGAAGCATTGCGACAGCTGTCCTTTGCCGGTGGTTGTAGAACAACAACAACGATCGTACATCATTGTCACCTGCGCGGCGAAAACAACTTTGCCTCTCGCCTGCACGTTCGTAAAAAAAGTCATCAGTGAGTGCGTTCCCGGATTCAACATACCTCCACGTGAGTCAATGCTGAATGCAGAGGCGAAGTTATGCGATAAGTGTTGTGAGTGTGCCAGTTTCCATTCCGCATGTCACTGCTTTGTGTCTTCTACTAAAAAAAAAAAAATCGCAGCATCATAAGTACATTCCGAGAACCAGTATGGATATGAATGCTATGTTTTTATTGTAGCATTTTTAATAGGCCTCTACAGCTCCAGCTAAAACACGGGCGACATAGAAACCCACACCGACAGCACTGAATTTAAATCGAAGATTCTTTTCGTGCGGCATAAATGCGAACACTTACTCGCACGCCCATATATAGAAACGGATAGAGAACGCAGAAAGCACGCCGATTCGCTTACCACTTTCAGTATCGTTAATTTTTTTATCTCGAATTCAATCTCATTATTGTTGAGAGAGACGTCTGATGTATTTCATACTGTTTTTTCATGATATAACTTTTTCAGCGCGCACAAAGAACAGGACAAGAAAGATACAGGCGAGCGCTAACTCTCAACTAACAACAGTTGAGAGATAGAGCTCGTCTGTCGCTTTCTTGTCCTGTTCTTTGTGCGCGCTGAAAAAGTTATATCATGGATACATTCCAACCCGCCCATGCCATCTGGTTTACCGCAATACTGTTTTTGTAACTGTGGTAGGTCACTTTTCAGTCATAAACGTCGCCCGTTGTACCTCTCAACAGAACGTGGACGTAAAAGGCGTATAGGAAGGCACGGCCTTCGCAATCAGTATCGAAACACAGAAATGAAGAGGGATGTATGAAGGCAAGGCTTTCGATATCGGCGCTAAAACACACAGCGAGAGGTCCGCGAACCGCCGCTCGAAGTAAAAAATTTAGTGTAACATCTATGACTCCGTCGACTCCAACCCACGATTATCGGATGCTTCTGATGTCTCCGAAAAAAAAATAAAAGAAAATAGCAAGCGCTGTTTCACCTTTTGGCAAGTGAGGCAAGCGAAGCGTGCGTGGTTTTACTACGTAAAACCGCACTAACCGAATGTACTAGTACGTGTACGCCAAAGGAAGCGAGGCCAAAGGAACAGTCAAAGGAAGCGAGGCCTTCAACCTCGCAGCTCTAGCTCGCGCCGACCCTGACGATAAGTATACGAGAGAGATAGAGAGAGAGAGAGACCTCCAGCGGTGCATCCGCCCTTGCGAGTTCGCAAAAGGAGCAATGCACGCTCGTTGCAGTGCATCGTGCGAACCGTCTCGTCTGACGTCATTCAAATGCAAGCTGGCAGTCGCTTTATGACGCTTTCAAATTGGCTGATCACTTACGTATGATACAGTGCGTATACCGCATGTACTTGGGAATTAATGAGAACAGCATCTTCTACCAGGGTCGTAGGCAGAAAGTTTTTGCTAGTGTGGGGAGGGGCAGTTTTTTTGAAATGGTCATTTTTCGCTACGCTGTGGCGAAAACATTTGGGGGGGGGGGGGGGGGCACATTTAATGTGCCACGCTCTGCAGCTACGTACCAGGCTAGGTACAAGACGAGTGGGTGGCATACCCTCTGTTCTTGTACCTAGTTCACCAACCGTATTTAAACTGAACTGACCTTACAAGATACGTGAATCGGGTCTGCGGTATCTTGCAAGGTGGCGGAAGGGTCAGGAAAAGAAAATTGGCAGCCAGACGTTTGTAGGTCACGAACCCATTATAGAAAGTTAGCATGTATTTCGCTGGGAAAAAGTTCGTTATAGTTCCCGAAAAGTACGTCCTGGTCCGGGGATCGAACCCGGGACCAACGCACTCATTTGCAGCAAAATTTGTTCCTGTGCTTCGAGTTGTCGATTAATTCGTCCTCGCGCTGTCCATTGCTAGCTTCCTCATTAGCTCAATCGGTAGAGGGACCACTCCAAAAAGATTTCATACACTAAGTGTTTGAAGTGCGCTCTAGGAATAGTGTATCACTATCGATTACAGCTCTTAAAGGCGAAGCTTAAGGGTCCCACAATTTTTTTTTTACTCAACCGACTCACCTAGGCTCATTCGGACCCAGACTCTCGTCTCGATCTTATCTGAGTGATCTAGTGCGAGTTGACTTATGAGTGAGGCTGTCCACTCATGCTTACAACACGCGCTGATGTTGTTATCTCATGTCACTGTACCCACCTCTTGCACGTACATAACGTTTCTCGCCATAGAATTCAGTTGAAAGTAAGCGACTTGTTCTTGTCGACGTAGTCCGTTTATCGCGCGCCAACCTAACGCAGTTCGTAATACGTGGTTCTGCTATAGGGGCTGCAAAGGTTTAACCTTTCTTTCTACTTCTACGCTTGCTTTCAAAACTTGATTGACCAGTGGTTTGAGGAAACCCCCTCCTCCGACACGCGCTGGCAATGTCACGCCACATCTTGGCGTCCTTCCAGGCGGTTAACGCGTAGCGCTTGCGGGACAACGCTTTAGGCGTTGGGATGAAGCAACGGGCTTTGAAGCCCTTGGTATTTGTACACGTGAGGACTTGGTCTTGACTGACGTAAAACGCCGCTCAGTCACGAGACAGATTTGCTTCCGGTAACAGCCATGACAGGAGTCTCCTCAAATGGACGTTGCATACATACATAGTCAATGGCTCGAAGAGAAGCGGTTGGTTCCTTCGCAAAGCAAACAATAACCGAAATTGATAATTACTGGCGAGATATAAAGACGCTGTACGTTATCTAATCGTTTGAAGAATGAGAGCAAACCAAGCACAAAATGTGATATTTACTTTTTGAAGCTCCAAGGAAACCCGCGTCGGTGGTCTAGTGGATATGGTTCTCCACTGCGGGTCGCGGGATCGAATCCCGCAGCCGTAGAGGCCGTATTTTTGACGAAAACGAAAAATGATTGAGATACGTGCAGTTTGGTTCAGGCGCACGCTAAAAAAAAAAAAAAAAAACCCTAGGTGGTCGATATTTCCAGAGCCCTCCACTACGGCGTCTCTTATAATTGTATCATTGTTTTGGGGCGTTAAACCCTAACAATTATTATCGTTCTGGGAAAACATAGCAATGA